CTGAATTCTGATGGACCCTATACCAACTGTTTTGCAGAATTCGTTGTTGGCCATAGTAACACTTCCATCAACCTGCTTGTAGTTCGTAAACCACTCCCTGCGTGAACATATATGATAAGGCGCCCCCGAATCTAGAACCCACACATCAGAGTGATGCGAACGTTCATCAGCAATCAGGACATAATCCTCTTCTGAACAGGTGTCTCCATCTGCAATATCTGTAGACTCATAATTTTCCTGTTGTCTCACCTTCTTGGGACATTCAGATTTCTAATGCCCTTTCTCCTTACAGTAATTACAGACATCACTAGGTTTAGGACCCCTAGAATACGATTTCCTAGATTTTCTCCCCGAATTCCCTTGTCCATTACTTTCACTGGCCACTAATCCATCACCCTGATGATGAGTCTATTTTATATGTATTTTTCATTCCCCGTCCCATGGTCATATTTGTGCTTATTTGAGCTATGCAGAGCTATTTTTATTACTAATATACGTTTTCTAGTGTTTTTGTAGAGTTGGTTTTATTTTGTAGGAATTTGCAGATTTATGACAATTTTCGAGCTTATTAGACCACTATGAAGATATTAGAGTTTGGATCGTATTTTATGACCGTATGTGTAATGCCCAAAGTCAAGTTAATTAAATTTGATTCGGTGACTAAGGGATTGATACATGAGAAAGACCAAGATTTTTCAAGTTATTATTATTACGGACTAATCAAGGAAGGAAGTTGGGCCAAAGTATTAAACGGACCAAGCTTACAAAACCAAGCAAAGAAGCTCTTGCTGGGCGTGATTAGTGGACTGGCCCGATAGGCAACGCATGTTTAAACGAAAGGGCTCGATTTCCTTGGGCCTTACTCTAGCTGTTTAGCTAATGTCGGTTACTCTAATTCACGCAGCAATATATATTGGAGCAGTAGTATGTAGTTAGGGGAGGTTAGATTTTGATAACCTTAAGCATTAGTTTTGTGATTTCCGAAAACTTTAGTTAGGCTTTAGATATTTTATTTCCTTATGCTTAGTTTTAGTTTTGGATTTTGGATTATTTTGCTCGTACATCGTAATTTTTAGTTTTTGGTTTTTAGTGCTTTCAATTGTCAGGTTTTATGCTTTCAATATTTTACTTTAGTTTAATTTAATTGTTTTCATAGTTTCATATTAGTTTCATACTATTATTTTTATTATGATTTATTTAATTGCTTTGATTAGTTTAGTGTTAATTATGTAAGTGTAATTTTATATTAGGGTTTTTGGGGATCCATAAATAATATGAAGGGATGATTTATTATTGTTGATTGTTAATGTTTTAGATTAATTTTCTATTAATTGATTTAATGCTATGCAGTTAGATTAGCGTTGGTTTAATTGTATGAGTTACGCAATATTGATTCGTGATTCGACTGATGAGAATTGATATTAAGGCTTAGTTTCAATAGGCATGGTTAATTTATAAATGGTTAAGTCAAGATTCGAGAGATACGATTTAATACTGCTAAATTAATTCTGTGATTCTAATACGTAGCAAAGGCCCTTTATAATCTGATTAATTTATGCATTGATAATTGATTGTTGTCTTTCATCCCAGAATATTATTTATTGGTGAACCTATGCCCTAGGTGTTTATTTTATTGATATTCTCTTAGTTCTAATTGCTTAGTTTAATTAGTTCTCTTAGATAAATTCACATAAAAATCATACTTGTTACTTGATAATTTAGATCATAATAATTAATTAGGAATAAAAGAACATTATTTCCCTGTGGATTTGACCCCCTATCTATTTTAGTTAGTGGTTTTAGGAATTACTTTTGATTAGGTGATACGACTTTAGTCTATCACCTGATCATCTGTACCTGTACCCGACGCCTTATGGCACAACTCTCTAGTATTGAGAGCAGATCTAACCTCCTCTAGAGACACTGTATCTTTACCAATAATACAAGACTGCACAAAATTCTCATATGACACTGGCAAAGACACTAACATAATTAAAGCAGCATCCTCATCCTCAACCTTAACATCAATATTACGCAATTATAACAGAATAGTATTCAATTGATCTAAGTGTTCTCTAAGGGATGTACCTTCAGACATTCGCAGACCGAACAGACGTTGCTTCAATAACAACTTATTGGTTAAAGAATTTATCATGTATAGACTCTCCACCTTCAAACACAGACCCGATGCGGTTTCCTCTTCCGCAACCTTAGTGATAACATCGTCTGCAAGACACAACATAATCGTTAAATGTGTCTTCTCCTCCAGAATTGCCATCTCAGCGATATCCGGATCCGGTGACTTCTTTGCCAATGGTATCTCAGCGGTATCCGAACCTGGTGACGTCTTTGCCAGTGGTGCCCATAACCCTTGTTTCTTCAACAACGCCCGCATCTTGATCTGCCATAAACTAAAACTATTCCTCCCAGTGAATTTATCAATTTTCACATTTCATTCCAAACATCTCTCTCACTCAGATTGAACCTAAGCTCTGATACCATTTGTTGGGCCGCTGATGCATGCTCATACACACACTAGTACAATATTGTCCGCTTTGGGCCAAGCCCGCACGGTTTTGTTTTTGGCTCTTTTCCAAAAGGTCTTGTACTAGTGTATTGAGCATCACTTTATAAATAGCTCATTCCCTTACTATTTCTTCCACGTGGGACTTGGGATGTAATTCCCAACAGTAGTGCTTTAGCACTACTTAGTTGAGTAAGTGGGAGATGGGTGTTATACCACACACACGCGCGCGCGCGTGCGCCGAGCCGAGCCGAGTCGGGTAGGGCTCGGGCCTCGAGACTTGTGGACTTGGGGTCTTGGTGAATGCGATGTGTGGGTGGGTTGTGGGCCCTCTATCTTTTTGGAGAAATTTTATTTCCTTTTTTTGTTGACGGAATATTCCTTAACATATTTTCTGGTTTTGACTGTTGGGATATTCTGACTATTAGGATTTATTGAGCCACTAATTCCTTTATTATAGCTGACATTTACTCTCCCTTGTTTATTGCAAGTATTCTGAATTCCAGTCGGGTTTGTGAGTGCATATAAACTCCGGCACCGTACTTATCCTGGAGGGCGACCGCTTCACGTCTACTGCACCGGGAGGTAGTGCGGAATTGTCTTTTAGGTCAGTGGTTTGCCACGACACGGCTACTGTCAGTTTCGTTTACGCAACAACAACTAAGTAATTACTGTTTTATTGCTTATAGTTTAACACCCTCGACCGACGAAACCAGCCTAGCCGACCACCCTCAATCATCAAAACCAGCCCAAGCGTACCCCAACCTCAGGCCCAATTTTGTTTATGGGTACGGGTTTGGGTTTGGGTGAGGGTGAGGGTGAGGCTGAGGGTGCAGGGTGAGAAGAGTAGGGCGGTTTATGGGTTTGGGTATGGGTGCGGGTTGGGGTTCGACGATTCGACGACAGTTCTGGATGAGTTCGGCGACGGTGGTGGTGATGCTGCTGTGGTAGGTGGTGGTGGCGTGATGTTGCTGTGGTTTGGCAATAGTGGTGGTAGGGGCGATGGAGTTTATCAAGGGATAGGGCTAGTGGGGCGATGGAGTTTATCAAGGGATAGGGCTAGTGGGGCGATGGAGTTTATCGCGGCTTGGTTGGGCTTGCGGCAGTTGGGCTGGCCGGCGCTGGTGTGTAGGGAAGCTGGTAGTGATGTTGGTGGCTGGGTTAGGGTTTATGATTTTTTTTTTAAAATTTTAATTTTCTTTTTTAAAACCAATAAACAACTAACACGTGTACATGACAGACCCCACTAAACAGATTCCATCCAAGGATCCGTTAATTAGTGGTGAAATCCAATTTTTGGGTTTTTTGGTGGTGTTATTATAATATTTTTTTTTTGTTTTTTTGTGGTGTTATAATCCAATTTTTGTGACTTTTTTGTGATGTTATTTTGCAAAACATCTTTATTTTTATTTGGAAAAATTGTTAGAAAAACCTTTTAAAAGCACCATTTTGCGAAAAAAAAACCTTTTAAAAGTTTTTTGGTTAAAAAAAACCACCACGTTCATTTTTTTTGCGAGAGAAAACCTATTTCCTTAATAACCCTCTAATTAACTTAATTAGACACTGATTTCCTCTCAATTGTTCTAATTAACCTCTAACCCACCAAATTACTAAATAATTAGATTTAATTTTTATATATAAAAAAACCACCATCCCCTCCTCTTCCTCCTCCCTTTCCCCCCTCCCTTTCCTCCTCCTTCCTCTTCCCTTCCCTCCCCCCCCCCCCGACAGCAACCCCCTCCCCCACCGAACCCGCTGCCCAGATCCCTCTACCTCCAGCGACCTCCTCCACCACTGGAAGACCCTCCCTTTCCCCCTTATCATCGTCGGCGACAACCACCTCCTTGATTTTAAAAAACCCTAGAAAATTGATTTGGGGGTTTTAATTATGTGCATCTTGCTTGCAATTGATGCTTATTTATTTTGCCTTTGATTATGTATGTATGTGATGGTAGGGTGATTTAGAAGCAAATTGCAATTGATTTGGACTTGATTTGAGCATGTATGAGTAAATAAGAGCCAAAAATTCGAAGGGGGTGGTGGTCGCCTACGGGGATAAAGGGGAAAGGGAGGGTCAACCAGCAGTGGAGGTAGGTCGTCGGAGGTGGGGGATCTAGGCGGCTTGTCCAGTGGGTGAGAGGGTTGTTGCCAAAGGAGGGGGAAAGGGAAGAAGAAGGGGTGGTTGGTTGGTGGTGGTTTTTTTTTTTTAATGTAAGGAAGTGGGTTTCCTCTCACAAAAAAAATGAACGTGGTGGCTTTTTTAACAAAAAGGTTTTCAAAGATTTTTTTTGCAAAATGTTGCTTTTAAAAGATTTTATCTGCTTGTAAAAAAAAAAAAGTTTTTTCTTACAAAATTTCCTTTTAATTTTTATTAACAAACATTTAATAGTAATAAATAAAATGAATAAAAATGCCAAAGTGTCAAGAAAAAAGGAAACTACTCGTAAATAACAATTTGTAAAACACCGTTCAAAAAAAAAAAAAAAAAAAAACAATTTGTTAAACAAGAAGCAGAAGTTGAAAGGACAAAGGAGTGACGATGGCCGCTTCTTGTTCAAGTATTGTTTATGGCGTTCAACCCATCTTAAATCACCCTCGAACCCGCTTCAAAACCCCAAATCTTTCAATTACCCATTTTCAATCTCTTTCCTCCAATTTTAGTTTTGATTCATCCTCTAAATTTCTATTGCCAAAGCTCCAAATTAGCGGGCTAAGAAGGCGGAATTCTAATGCTGTGCCCATCATCTTCAATGCTCAATCTAAAATCTTCCAAGGTTTATTTTTTTTTACTTTACTTCCCTTCTTTTATTTGATGGGTAGCTATTAATTCTTGTTTAAATTGATTTATTTCATCTTTTTATTTGGTTAATTTTGTTAATTCTATATGTAATTTATAGTTTATAACTTTTATACTGCTGTTCTTGTGATGGGTTTGTTCAATAATTCTGCTCTATTTTGTTAAAGGTCATTTCTTTACATTCAGATTTTGAATATTGTTAAACCATTTTGACAAAAATAACAATTTGAGTGGATAACAATTCAGATGATATAATTCTGATATGGGTGTGTTTCAACTTTCAAGTGTTGGATATGCCTTAGTTTTTGTATGAATTTGGGTATATTTGAGCTTTCTTAATTTATATTTGTGACAATGGACCATATCATGAGCTTTGGTTTGTGTTCAATGGTGGCTCAAGGTTGAGGCCAGTAATGCTCATGATTTAGGCAACAATTTGATTACTAATTCTTTTAGAAAATGGATTCACTCGATTTTCGGCTTTAAATGACTTATGTTGGAGTAGTCTGAATGACTTAGGTTTGAGAACAGCTGAATTCATAGGTTTTTTTGATTTCGAGGTTGGAGAACCGATAATGCTCTCATTGTAATTTTGCCCATGAGTAAGCATGACAATTGGCAATTGAAGTCCAACCAATCTTGATAGTTGATACCAATTGTGCAATGATATGCAAATTGTAAATTAGCTCAGCCAAACCTTGTACTCCTTTGATTAACGACGTTGCATAGAAGCATCAAAATGTTAATTTGGTCTCCGAAAATTCTCTTTTAATCAATTTATCAGAATGATTGAATATCTCAATCTCCTTCTGTGTATATTGTAATCATGCAATGAATGGCAGGAGACTAGAACAGAAAATACAAAAGCTGAATGCATATGCTAAAACAACTCCTTTTCATGAGCTGAAGACCATGTAGATTTGTTTTGCTTGTATTCATCTTTTTTATTCTGCTTAGTCTGTCACAATTCAATATGAGCTCAGTTCCCATGTTTGTGACTATTAATATCTATCTGATTTGAAACAGCCATTCAGACAGTTTTTAAAGTCGGCAAAGATGGAGTTGAGGCAGGAACCAATCTTGTGCCAGTAAGATCCTCTTGTCTATGATGATTAAATTTATGCTCATTGCAGCTATGTCTTTTTAACCTCTCTTCTAATTTCTTTTTGATTGTCAGGATGCTGTTCCAAGGCCAGTTGCAAGATTGTCTGTAACTGTAGTTGCTGCTGCTGTTTCTCTTTTTGTGCTTCGGTCGTTCGTGTCTACAGTTTTCTTTGCATTGGTACGTATGTGGTCTCTGTTTCCTGTTGAATCATATCATAGTAGCTTATAACTGTTTTCCCTTTGCGTTCCTGGTGTCTGCTTAAGTTTACCAATAGGCATTATCTAGCATTTATGATCTTGTGCTTCATGTGGCAGCATAGGATTATCATCCTCTGCATAAATTGTACTCTGTATTTTAGATGTGGTCATCAGTTTTTTTTAAACACAAAAATTTCAGCTTCTTCAAAAAGTATATTGCTAGGTTAATGGTGCATTGTTCTGAAAGTTGATGTATTGCACTAGAATAATAGCAGGTGAATATTGTATTCATTCATTTATATATAAAATGCTGAAGATGCCTAGAAGGTTCTGTCAATGTCAATAGAACTTAAAAATTAATGATGTACTGATGTATATAAATTGGCGGATAACTTGAGCGCGCCTATCTGAATCAGGGGCGGAATCAAGGGGGGGCTGGGGTAGGCCATGGCCACCCCCTTGATTCTGTTTAATAAATAATTTTTCCTTTATATTATGTGTTTGCATCACAGCTCAGTTGGTTTAACAAATGACAGTTTTAAGGGATTTCTTCATTTCCACGGGTCTAGAGTTCGATTCTTGTTGTTGCATTTTTTTTTTTTTTTTTTTTATCTCTCCATTCTTTTGACACAAGCACATCACTCCTAATTACTTCTTTTCTTAAAAAAAGGGATCCCATCAGTATGTTTGTAGTGATATTTAATACAAATACGAAGTGGTAGAACTATATTACTATATAGTCTGAAGAAGTTATATAGTTAGAAGATTTTGTTTTTAAATAAAGTTTTAGCTATCCAACGAGAATGGAAAATATAGTGGAACTAAAAAAAAATTGATTTTGGCCCCCCTAATGTAAGATTTCTGCTTACGCCACTGATCTGAATTGATGTTTATTTATTGATGAAGCTTTGGGTATACGTTATTATCACAAAATATTAAGTCTAGAGTCTAGACCTATGCAATCAGATATTTAGGACTTGGAATGTATTGAATTGAGTTTGGACTCAATCTTTCCAAACAAAAGTATTCCGTGTTGAAACTGTTTCAAATTGGATTTGCACCTGTGATTCTGTGAAAGCATAATCCCCTCTGTCCAATTAGCACCCCTGTATGAAACTTGAAAGTCAAGTGCTGCTCCTTGCATTATTATCTATGAGCTATGACTACTTTTGCTGTAGTAAGTATGTGAAGTTCACGATTTTAAGTCAGTGAGATGTGAGAAACTGGGGGTTCCTGGTCTCTTAACTTTTGAATTCTAGTGTAGTATTTGACTTTTTAATCCCTTTCTCCTTCCTTAAACATGACCATAAACATTTTTGTGTGTGTTCATGTGTTGAGTGGGGAGGGGGTATGTATACGGCTTTTGGGTGATATTCCTTTTCTTTTTTTTTTGCATTCTATGTAGAAGCTTAATGTCTCATAACCTCTGTGATTGTGGCTGAAGATCTTTGACCATCACTTAACTTGCTGTCTATCAACTGCAAAACAGGGTTTCATGGGCTTTGTGTATTTCATTTATCTTGCCTTCAACAAGGACAAAGGACCTAGAATGGACGACAAGCCTGGTTCAACAGACGAAGCTATAGAAGAAGCTAAAAAGATCATGGATAAATACAAATAGGCTGCAAGCTTGACAGTACTTCACGTGTATTGTGCTATTAATTTTTCAAACATAATGTAGTATGTTTGAATGTTGCAACTTTTATAGAAATTAAATTCACAAGAATATGTAGATCCAAAATGTCTAGTTGAAGCATGGAAAATGACCAAGGGTCCAACCGCTGGGTAAATTCTTGATAATTTTTAGATTGGTGTATCACTACTCATTTTGTGGGCATCACACTTTGAATGAAATTTCTTTAACGGAAGCAAATTGCCTTCCCCATTCCAGTTTGAGCTTTTGTTTTCATTTTTCTTGAGGAACTGATACTTCAAGCTTTTTGGCAAAAAAAATTCCTGCAGAAGCTGTGTTTTCTCGTCCGGACCAATCTGAAGATGATCAAGTATTTCATTGAAGCATTGTTTTATTCGTGACTTGTGGTAGTCTCATGAACCAGAGCTCCAGTATCCCAATTCGTTTGGCTCCGTGGTGATTATGGGCTTGGTCTTTGCCCAGGTACGCTCCTAGGTTGATATTATATAAATCAGGGATATGATGTAGAGTGACTGTAGAATGTTTGGATTTCCATGTCAGGTGATTGTGATTGCTACTGTTGTTCCTAGTAAATTTGCATTGTTTTATGGTAAACAGAGGCATATATATCATGTCTCAATGCCATGTACAAATTCAATCAACTGGCAAGTTTGAATAGCATAATTGAACACTTGGTTTGACATTATTACAAAAATAAGTGAATGCAATTTTCTGAATTCTGCTAGAAAATTTGAATTATACCCTTATAAGATCAGATAATATCTTCTGTTTAATCTTCCATGCTTATGATACAGCGCAAGCCTTCCCCTTTTTGCATTAACTCGAAAGCCTTGTTGATTTCTGAGAAGGATACTCTATGAGTTATGAATTTATCCAAGTCCAGCTCCTGTTAGTTACCAGGAAAAAAAAAAAACAGTATAGATTAGAGATGTTGGTTATTCCTTTTCCTCTCACCCCACCTTTATCTCTTCTCCCTATTTGGTAGATTGATTTTTTTTTTTTTTTAATCATTGTGCTTTATTCAACAGAGATATAATTGCTGCTTCTATCTGACTCGATAACCTGTTCAACACGACTTGTAACCCGAAACTCTCTGAAAATGATTACTCAATAATGATCTGATCCGAAAGCTACCCAAAATTTGATCTTTACTAAATCGGAGTTGACCCAACCAAACTGACATAACATTTGGAAGGGTCTACTTGTTATAATAAATGGCTATCCTTTGTTGTTGGAACGTATAATCTTAGGTGTACTCAAGGGGATACTTTGCTCATTTGAAGCTCTCTTAGTGAGCTAAAAATGGGCAAATGAGCAAAAAATAAATTAGAAATATACGAGGGTACATGATAGAGGCTTTCGCATTAGTTAAGCAGAACTGATATCCAGGACCATTTTACCTGATTCATGTACATATCAACAACAGATGGGAGATCCGACTTGGGCTTGTAGTTGCCAAAAAAAGTTCCTTTGAGAGTTCTCTCATTAAGCAAATTAATGGGTTTAGTCATAAAAACAGCATCCTTGCTAGGAACTCCACAAAGTACAGCCACTCCCCATCCCTGTATACTCAATCCAAAAATAACAGAATTTTATTAAAAGCTCTGTTCTGAATCAAAATGCATTTCAAAATTATGTACATATGAGTAAAAAAAAGGACCAAAACTCTTACATCATGAACACACTCAAATGCAGATATCATAACATCCACATTTCCAGTGCACTCTATACTCCTGTCGACTCCTCCGTCAGTCATCTCCTTGATAACCTGTTAAAGGATATGGATTTGTCAGAGCTGCACAGAATACATCTGTGTCTTTTGAAATTGTGATGAAGAGATTAAACTTTACCTCTTGAACTGGTCTGTCATGATCTTTTGGATTCACAAAGTCTGTGACACCAAATTTCTTGGCTAAAAAGAAGAAAGATACAGTAGACATTAGTCAAGCTATTAAATTGTAAATTGTTAATACAACACTTCATACCCTCCATGCTGGTGTGTCTCATAAGGACTTCATCCATTTCATAATTCTAGATTTAACAGATACTTCGTATTAAGTACAGTTAATCCAATTATCTCTTTGCCAACACTGTGTATGAAAGATTGAAAGCTTGGGAACGGATGGATCTATACCTTCCTCAAATTTGCTAGGATTCCGACCGATTCCTATTATTCTTGATGCACCAGCAATTCTGGCACCTTCAGCAGCCTTGGCAATTTAGAGTTGGGTATAAGTTACAAATATGAAAACTGCATCATATTACATACTTTTCCTATCTGCAGTATATGTGAGCTAATATAATAAATATTCTACTACTCTTACAACACTGCCTAAAACTTACAGCAAGTCCAACAGCTCCAAGTCCGAACACAGCAACAGTAGAGCCTTTTTTCGGTTTTGCCACATTTAAAGTCGCGCCCAAACCTTAAATTGAGATCAGAATAGCAGCAATTATAATAAGCTTTAAATCACAATTTTCTGGTGAAAATGGGAAAAAGACTGAAATTTATGATAGGAAACCTGTTGAGACACCACAGCTGAGAATGCAGGCTTTATCTAAGGGTGCCTTTGGGTTAATCTTAACAAGACAACCAGAATGAACTACTGTATATTCACTGAAAGTAGAAGTTCCAATGAAATGGTTAACAGGATTTCCATTGAGAGAAAACCGGGATTTCCCATCGTTTAGCATCACTCCTCTATAAGGGTTCATCCTTAACAAATTACACATGTTGCTTTCTTCAGATTTGCAGTGGCGACACTCCCCGCATTCTCCAGTAAAAACCGGAAGAACATGATCGCCTACTTGGAAATCAGTCACCCCCTCACCTATGCTCTCTACAATGCTGTCAAAATTTAAACAGAAGCTTATCAACTAGATACTCTGCATATCTTTTCAGTCATTATAACTGGAAAGTAGAAGAGTGAACTTGACTTAAAATTTTAATGAGCTAGTCCAATTACTGCATAGCTTGGCTCGAAAAAGATCATGAACAGGCTCGGATATATAGATTAAATGGAATTTTAGTTATAAACCACAAGTAATAACACGAACTAGCAATAATAAACTTTGGTAATATTTTGTTAGTTGTAGTTTGTGACCCAGGGCTTAAGCTTCTCGAGCTAAATTTGAGTTGGTAGGCCAAGATGAGCTATCCCTAGCTCTAGCTTGGCTCTTTATCAATTCTAGTTGAGAATATAATAATATATGAGCATACCCAGCTGCTTCATGGCCGAAAATGCGAGGAAACAATTGTGTAGCAGTACTGCCCTGCAGAATACAGAGAATACTTGGAGTTTTCAGTTCTTGAAAAACATAGTTCAGAAACCTCAAGGGTTACAAACTAGTATGGAATGAAAACAGAATCCTAGGTAAATAAGATATACCTTAGCTTCCCAAAAGTAAAAGTCAGTACGGCAAAGAGTAGTGTACTTGATCTTAACTCTGACTTCCAAGGTCTGTGGTGGGGCAACCTCTACTTCCTCTATCACCAACGGCTTCCCGGCCTCCCATGCTACCGCAGCTATACAAAAAACCCAAAAAATTACAAAGTGAAGATGAGATCTTGTAGCTAACAGGACGAGTCTCGGATTCATACCTTTGCAGGGAATCACAAGGCCAGCAGTACTAGACATTGGTTATGTTCAGGGGAGTTCTCTCTTTTTTGAAGCAAGTTTTCCAAACTTCACCTTAAAGAAGATTACATAGAATCAATTTCATAGTGCAAGTTATAGAATTAAGATGAGTATAATGAAGACAAACATGATAATTGAAGTAGAGATACATAGATAAAACAAGGTTTGGCCCAAGATTAGAAAGTGGGAGGACCACTAAATGTACTATAACTTGATATAGAGCTATTAATTTCCCTACAAAATTTGTTGCATTAGTAAGAAAGAAGTTTGAACTTGTTCTTATCAGTTGATTCCATGTGTATGTTTTCTTCCTCTTTCTTTGCTAGGGCAAGTTATTGGGACTATGACTTGGCTCTAAGTTTGAAACTTCACCACACAACTTAACTTCACATTATCAACAACCATGTTGATAATAAAAACTAAAGAGAAATAAAACTTTATTAGTGAAACTTGTATTACATACTCCCTTTATCTGGAATTAGTTGTCACATTATTTCAACCTCTTAAAATTATTAATATAACTATTTTTCAAAAATATCCTTATATAATTGTAATAGTTGTGAATTATTTCCTACCAATCACTCAATTTAAGTAATGGCATATTAGGAAATTCAGTCATCATCTGTACTTTTTTATAAGGGCACAACATATGTACCTAAGCCACAAGATCATCAAATCTTCTCCTTTAGGCACTAATCTTCCAAGCTGCGCAACTCTTGATATCTAAGCATGTAATTTAATGATTTTAGAGAATATCCTACTATTGAGATGATAAAATTATGATAATACATGCCTGATTGCTTTATTTTATCAAGTTAGAATTGCTTGACCATGTATAGCTCACAACTAAAGGTCAGCTGCACAGTTATAGTTCCCGGTACAGATGCCATTAATCGCACCTTTGTGAAGCAGATTAATCAGCTAGATCAGTTACATAGCATTTCTTGCCAGGAACTTCAGCAAGCACTGCAATTCACCACATCCCTGTACCAGTATAATTCAGTAAAATGATGGTACACTTATTAGTTGGTTAAAAAAAATGACATCTAGCCTCCCGCGATTTGGCTTCTTTTAATCTGTATTTTAAGTAGAATTCCAGAATAGATAGACACAACAGCTGAGGATGCAGACTGTTATCGCAACTCACAGGGTGCCAATGAACTGATCTTCGCAAATTAGCAAGACAGTGAGCATGGGCAACTGTCTGTATGTACACTGAAGTTAGACATCCCAAGGATCAGAAATGATTAATTAATAGAGTTTTCCAATGACGGATACTCTATCCCCGGGCCCTACAGCTTAAGCTTTTGATTGAGTTGATTTAGTTAAGTTGTTTTTTGTGAGTAATTAATTGTTAGAGGTAGTAAGCCTAAAGGCCAAAGTTGGTTTCGGGTTGTGAAGGAACAAAGTAGACAAGTAAGAAGGGATTCTTTAAGGCGGAGTTGTGGCCCGTGATCAGCACTCTAGGCCCAGAAAATCGAGATGTGGTTTTCTTACAAATAAATATCTTGCTTGCTTGTTACTAAACCTATTGGTTAATAATCTTATACAGTGAAACAAGGAGAGACAATAGAAAGAAGCTCCCTAACAGAACCCAAGTTAAGTGAGGTTTCATCTTAAAACTAATTGACAGTAGGAGAAATAGCCTACTTGGGTGATAAAGTAAAAGCTCTTTACTTTATCTTTAAATTTAGGAAACATGATACACACTTGCACTTAACAATGCTCCCCTCAAGTGTGTGTCCATATACACTCCCCCTTCAATAGATATAGATAAGCAACACTACGTCCAAGTGGATTTTTATGATGTATACTATAAAATTGTCCTCTTACCTTTATGTGGGCGTACCTATATTCTTTTTTGTTGATTTCGTGAATAATTCTTGCATCTGTTATAACACTTCTGTCGATATAAATAGTCTCATCATAACCACATAATTTTAACATTTTTTATAACACTTCTGTCGATATAAATAGTCTCATTATAACCACATAATTTTAACAAATGTCTGAAAAAAAATATAATGGGATCATTGGTATAAGATAAGTGATGTGATTGAGATATTAAGTTTCAAGGAGAGGTACCTAAGCTACATTTAATTCACACTACGATAGATATAGGTCAATTCAAACAAAGACAACATAATATAATAAATCCATTATTTAGTGGATAGATTACTTATAAAGTCATATAATGAGGCAAATAATCATACATTATAAGTCATGATTGATCGAGTACAATCGAACTCAACTACATTACTCGCTCTTTTTTCCTTTACAAATACGAGTATTATGTAGGTACATTAGCCATTGGGTAGCTTTTACCTTCTCTCTAATTTTATAAAAATACATATTCTAAGTTTATTATACTGTTAATATGAAAGAGAAAGGACAATGAAAACACACGAGTAAAATAGTTAACGACAATGGTTGTACTATGACTTAACTTTAGTGTTTTGACATGGTCCAGCTTTTGTGTTAGCACGCTAAATATAGTATTTTTTACCTGTTAAAATCATTATTTGTTTTTGGCACTAAAGAACTTTTCATTATTAAAGCTTAATCACTATCAAATCTTACAAATAAAGAATTAAAGATGCTCTAACAATTTGTGTTTTTACTTTTTCAAAATTCTCTTGTTCATGCCTTCTACAATCAGACTTCGTTTATTTTGTCGTTAGGAGATGTGACTTTTTACTTCAACTTGTCTATTAGAGTACTAGCCCTATAACAAGGCTACATAAAAATTGACCATGTATGACAAGGATTGAAGACTGCATACCCTTTGCTTTGCTTTTTTTAATTTGAAATTTTTACTTATTATTGGATAAAAATTTCATTCAAAAGACTTTTCATAGTATGTTTTAATTGTCTCTCACAATAAGGAGTATAACTATCAATGACTTTATTGAGATCGGAGACGAGATAACTCATGAACTACTTAAATTCAACTTTGTTAATTAATAATCAATTTGGATGAATTTAAACACTCGTATTTTATATTACCTCAACACAAATAATACCCCTTTGTTGCAATTAATATGAAACGGAAGTAGTAAATCAATCAATTCTTAAATTCAAATAATTTCTATGGCATAATAGATAAATAAGGTAAATGTGAACATGGAGGAGAAAAGATGATCAAAATTATCTTTAACTTTTTTTCCACCTTGGATGAATAACAAAAAGATGAGGTTATAATTTTTATATATATTTTTTTTTTCATTCCTTTCATTCTTTTAATTTTTTGTAAAAAAAAATGCAAATTAACCTACAAAATACTACTATGGCTTTATACATCATTTTTATATCTTTATCATACAATAATCATACGGTCACATCTTACTTCGTTTAATCACACACTTAAGTTTTCTTTAGGTTCTTCATCTATAACCTTATAAAGAGGGATGAATAAAAGTGAAAGTTCTAAAAGTCGACAAAAATAGCATTTTATGAGCTTAACATATACTTACTTGAACAAAGTCAATTTACATAACATAATATTTCAACCTAAAAAGACCTACTATTATGCTGCATGATTGGAGTGACTTCTCTTTGTGAAAAAAAAAAAGAAAAAAAAAAAAAAATAGTACTCAACATAGCTTAAATGGAAGCATCATTATAGAAGCTATCCTTAAAAAAGATCACTTTTAGCAAATGTCACAAAATCTTTTAGTAAAAAAATGTGTAAACTTAGACCCACAAACATGAAAGTGGAGCTCATTCCATGTGAATTTTGCCTGGATAATATTTTCCTATCATAAAATTTTATATTTTACCCTTTTAAAGATATTCTTTAAATTTTGTCACACTTATCTTATATAAACTCTTAGACCAAAAAACCATTGGGAGCCCACATTTAGAAATACAACATCATTGAATGCATTACAAGATTATGGTTAATCATATCTTGTCTCTAATTGATCTTATCCAAGGGCTTATATGTAATATCATTGCCACGTGTAGGGTCAATAATTATTGGAAACACCATTAGCAAACATGGTATCTTAGTTTAAACTTACTTTATGAAGAAGAGAGACAATCGTACGTCGGGCATGTTGCAAAGTAGCGGTGGAGCTAAACGGCAAAAAAAAAAATTAAAGTTTTGGAAACTCTATGTTTCTAATGGTGGGCGTGCATTTCTAGTAGTAAACTCTTTGTATAATACTACTACTTAGTAATTTATCCATTTGTTGCTGATTGTAACAATGGAGAGAGTGAGAGAAACCTTTATTTTCAAGTAACGAAAATGATTCTGTTATGCTATACCTATAAGCTCTTGCAAGAATAAAACGAGTTGAGAACGAGTTTAATAGTATTTGTATCGACAAGGTAGTAGTCTATAAAAATATAACAATCGCCCCAAGTGTTGGGATGAGAGGTTTGAAAATCTCTTTTGATATCTATAAATTAGCAAGAATTTGAGATAGATGAGACTCGTGAGAGAAAGTACAGAGTAAATGTGGCAAGTAGGTTTGAAAATCTCTTTCAATATCTAAAATATTTGTGCAATGATTAGAATCATCATTCTTTATATATATATATATATATATATATATATATATATATATATATATATATATATATATATATATATATATATATATATATATATATATATATTTATATTTATATTTTTAGCATTGATCCAATTTAAATATAAATCGAAGAAATTAACCAATGTTCTCATCAAGTAAGCAATAAGGAGTCTATTTGCTTTTGGAACTTGAGTGCTATTAGGCTATAACATACATTATGTCCTAGAAGGCTATAACTCATAGATAGGAGCATTATCACAATTTACAAGGACTATCACAATGTAATGCCAATGATAAGATTCCAAATATGCACCCCATGTACTTGTATCTGGGTTGGTTTATTCGAGATTCTTATGAACTTTGCTTTTCATTAGGACATTAGTAGGATACACATTATATTAATGGGTTTTCTAATGAATAGCTAGTGTTCTTTGTAAATTTTCTAAGGCATAAAATAATTAATGCCTTTTTTTCTTGTCTTCCTAAAATAATAAGGAAATCATAACTCTATCTTTAATTTTTCCCTTTTTAATAATTTAAACTAAACATTATTAGTATTATCAATTGATTAATTAGTTGAATTGAACATATTATAATTAAAATAACAATTGTTGTAATAAAATTCAACTAAATTGAAATATTTTGTATTGAACTGATCATAAATTGATAGTAAAATTACTTTTCTAAAATACAATTTTGGAAATAAAGAACATAGCCTTAATCCAATATGCAATTTTCTATTCACATTAATCCCACTTATTTTAAGAAAAATAAGTTCTAAATAAGGTAATTTTAAGAAAGATTTGTTAGATATTCAAGTTCAAATTACAATTAAACTACGTAGTTCACTAAAGTGAAAATTAGGTAATAGAACACACTCTTACTACACTAATGGACAATCATTTCCAAGTACTTCACTAGCAGGAATGCATGTTATAAAATGGCTTTGCATGTATTTACAACACCCCGATGGAAACATATGTACTCAGGGTAGCCTACTTGAATCTATCTTAATTCAATTGTCAAGTTTTCAATCCAAATCACAATGTGACAAGTTTTTTAGACAAATGAAGCTTATTTGAAACTTCTACCAAAGATAGAGCAAACTCAATATTGGACAAAAAAACAATACAAGTAGAAAATAAATGCTAAGCAAGTAATTTCATACAACAAAGAAATAAGGGGGAAAAAAAGTAATTTTAAAAACAAAATATTTCCTCTTAAATGAAAAGCTCACCTATATAATTATCTATTCATGATATAGATCCTCTTAAATAAGTAAATTGAGATAAATAGAATTCGAACAGTTAAATTAAAGGCCTTAAAAGTCCTCTCAAACAAGTAAATTGAGACGAATGGAATTAAACAATTGGTTGAAGGCCTTGAAGCATGATTTCAAAAGGTTCATATTCTGACCATCAAATCAGCAAGCAATCAAAATTCACATAAGACTGATACAAACAAAATGATAAATCTACAGAAAAAAGACACCAAAATTTTCAATCACAATGTCCCAACAGTCAAAACTCCCTTTTCTCAGCTTTCCCGAAAAGCAAAAACCTCAAACAAACCCTCTCAATTCATTCTCCCACTCACTCACTCCCTTCACTCCTTCCTCTTCACTCCAACTTCACTTACTTTCTCTCTCCTCCATTCTCAGACCTTTTACTCTCTCCAATGCCAAATCTCACCAAACCCTCCTTCTTCTTCCTCCTCTGTTTCTTCCTATTACTCTGTTTTTCTCCATCCTCCATTAATGGCGGCTCAATTTCATCTTCTTCACCTTCAGATGTTGAGCTTCTTCTTTACAAAATCAAACCCACTTTACAAGGAAACTCAGAAAGTCTCCTCCTTTCTTCATGGAACTCAACCATTCCTCTCTGTCAATGGCGAGGCCTCAAATGGGTGTTCTCCAATGGCACTTCTTTAGCTTGTGATTCTCTCTCTTCTCCTCAATGGTCTAGTCTTACTCTCTTCAAAGACCCTTCAATTCACATTCAATCACTTCAGCTTCCTTCAGCTAATCTTTCTGGTTCAATTCCTCGAGAAATTGGGGAACTCTCTGCTCTTAAAACCCTATATTTGAGTGTCAATTCTTTGTCTCTTGGGGTACCCTTAGAACTTGGGTACAGTTCTTCTCTTACAGATATTGATTTGGGGCAGAATTTGCTTACTGGGTCTCTTTCTCCTTCAATTTGGAACCTATGTGACCGCCTCGAATCACTTCGGCTTCATGGTAACTCTCTCTCTGGCTCTATCCCTGCTCCTGCTTTGCCTAATTCTAGTTGTGATAGTTTGAAAGTTCTTGATTTAGGGGATAATAAATTTACTGGGTTGTTTCCTGATTTTATTACTAGGTTTAGAAATATTCAAGTTCTTGATCTTAGTTATAATTTGCTTACTGGGGTGATTCCTGAGGGTTTAGGGCAGTTAAAATTTGATCAATTGAATTTGTCTTATAATAATTTTAGTGGGGTTTTGCCTAAATTTGGGGAGAGTAAGGTTGGGGCTGAGGCATTTGAAGGGAACAATCCTGGATTATGTGGGTACCCTTTAGGGGGTTGTAGTGGTAGGACTAATTTGACTCCTGGTGCAATTGCTGGTCTAGTGATCGGGTTGATGACGGGTTCTGTGGTTGCTGTGTCGATTTTGATCGGGTATTTGCAAAACCGGAGGAGGAAGAATAGGAGGGAGAATGAGGATGATGAATTGGAGGAATGTGAAGAGGATGATACTGCTGGTGAAACTGGTGAAGCTAAGCTTGTTGTGTTTCAAGGCGGCGAGAATTTGACACTTGAGGATGTCTTGAATGCTACCGGACAGGTTATTGAGAAGACGAGCTATGGAACATCTTATAAGGCTAAGCTTGCTGATGGAGGGACTATCGCGTTGAGGTTGTTGAGAGAAGGTTGTTGCAAGGATAGAAGTTCTTGTTTGCCTGTGGTAAGGCAGTTGGGTCGTATTCGACATGAGAATTTGGATCCATTAAGAGCTTTTTATCAAGGAAAAAGAGGAGAGAAGTTGCTCATCTATGACTATGTTCCTACCAGAACTCTCTTTGAGCTTTTACATGGTAAGTGCCACTTTCATGTTTTGTTTGCTGTCTATTTTGTCTTTTCGTTGGAATAAACAGAATTATATGAAACAAGAATCCAAAGGATACCATATATTGTCAAATCAACATTCAATGTGATTTATATTGGATATACAAGTACAAAGTTGAACATTACATGACTAATATGTATCACTACGAGTAATAACTTCTTTCATCCTGCACTAAAACTGAATAGACTGCTGAGAAGTTATTAAAACATAAATGGACAAATTGTCGAGAAGTATTGTACTGCTCTTGGGTTAGCTGGAAATGATTCCATGTGTGCTTTAATGTTGCAGAAATTTCTTCTGTCTAGTTGAAAAAGTTCTTTGTCTAAAGAGTTCCTTTGATGATTGTTAATGTGGAAAAAGCAAACACATAAAGGAAGTGTTTGATACAGTATTGGTTTTCTCTAGTGTTCAAAGTCCTATTAAGTCGATAACAAAGATTCACCAATGGTCAGAATTTCTTGCATTTTTTCACATCCCGAACCAGGCTGATTCACAATGAGCTAGGTTCTCGCCTCTAGAATTATTTTATGTTGTAGTTAGTTTTTCTGAAAGGATTTTTTGCATGTTGCTCAAAATTAGGCTCTTAGCAAATATGAACTAATAATAACAAGGATCTTCACAGTGCTGTATGATCTAGGACTCTAGGATGATTGCATCTTTGTATTTGGTGCTACGTGGAAAACATGGTTTGTTGCTTAGTTGTTCTATATGATGGTAAATTTTTTGTACTTGGAGAGTCTTATGCTCTTACCTTCCAATTTAATTAGATACTATGTCATATGTCACCCAAGCTCGTCATTTAACCTCAAATGCCAAACACTCCAATCTCTAATATGGTCATGGATACTTGAGACTAGAGCATGTAAATTTTTTAAAATGATGGATATTATTAAGACACGTACCCATTTGTTACACTAGAAGCCAAGGTCTAACTGTGTCCAAAGTCTAACTTCTGTCACATGTCTTGACTAATACTTGCTGAGTTACTGGCTTAACCTATACTGAATGAAAGATATAATCCCATCTACATTGCTCAAGGTGAGCTTTGTTGAGAGTGTGGATTAATTTAATTTGAGAAACTTTTCCAGTAGAGTTGCCTAATTGAGGAAACTGCTATCTTTAGAAAATTATGTTGATGAAGACTTATGTCCTTCACACATCAAAGTCTAGTCAAAAAAATTCACTCACGATGTTTTGGTAGGCTAAATGAAGAAACTAAATTTTCCAGTGCATAATCATTTTTGGGCCTTGTTGCTCTTGGTCAGGCTTTCTACCTGCATTTTAACCCCACTAGTAAGCAAAGTAGGATTCATAGTCAACATAAGGAGTAAGGCTTCATCAGTATGCTTTCATTTACTTGAATATGTATCACAGTCCTCAATCTTTAGTGTTAACTGTTAATTGTAGCCATTGCATTATGTGGAGTATTATATAACATCACATCAAAATAGTTTTTTTTTTTTTTTTTTTTTTTTTTTTTTTTTTTTTTTGTGTGTGTGTGTGTGTGTGTGTGTGTGCGTATGTTTCTCCCTGAGTTCATACACTGTTCTTGTACTTTATGACTTGTTTAGTTCTCACTGAATTCTGATTTTTGTTAAACCAGAACCTAAGCCAGGGAAGCCAGTGCTAAATTGGGCTCGACGCCACAAAATTGCACTTGGTATAGCCAGAGGACTAGCATATCTTCACACAGGCCTAGAGACTACGATGACTCATGGGAACGTGAAATCCAAGAATGTACTTATTGATGACTTCTTTGTAGCTAGACTTACTGAAATTGGGGTAGACAAGCTGGTGATCCCAGACGTAGCTGATGAAATGTTGTCTCAACTGAAGACAGATGGATACAAGGCTCCTGAGCTTCAAAAAATGAATAAATGCAATCCAAGGACTGATGTCTATGCATTTGGTATTTTGTTGCTTGAGATTTTGATAGGAAAAAAGCCTGACAAAAACTCCCGAAGTGGTGATTATATGGATTTACCATCGATGGTGAAAACAGCTGTTTTGGAGGAGACAACAATGGAGGTTTTCGACGTTGAGGTTTTGAAGGGAATAAGAAGTCCCATGGAAGACGGGTTGGTTCATGCATTGAAGCTTGCGATGGGTTGCTGTGCTCCAGTGGCTACTGCTAGACCCACAATGGAGGAAGTACTGAAGCAGTTGGAAGAAAACAGACCGAGAAACAGGTCTGCTTTGTACAGCCCTACTGAAACTAGAAGTGGGACAGGTACTCCCTTTTGATCTTCCTTCACCATGTTTTTTTTTTTTTTTTTTTTTTTTTTAGATTGAGAGGTAAAACTTGTCTATCTGTACTGCTGTAGGAAAAAATCTCCTTAAATTGATACGATTTTCTGTGCATGTAATTTGTGGCAGAAGTAGTGGAATCATGCACAGTGATTCATTATCTGTTGTAGGTTTCTCATCTAATTCCTATATTATGATGTAATTGTGTTAAAATGATGAGATTTATTATAAACGTTGTGATTGTAGCAAAGTAACTAAATACATTTATTAACTATGACTACAGGGTGATATATCTCCAGTTCTGATTAGCTAGCTCATATACACCACTTCTTTTTCTTTCTGAATGCATTTGGTATGGTTTATAATTGTCGAAAATGTACAGAATTAGAATGGTTTGTTCTGTCTAAGAAACCTCGATAATAGATTCTTCCAGCATCTCATGTTAGATACTCTGTGGGGCTGGCGAAGATGTCAATATCGGTGGTTGGATGTCTTCCGTATTGCAGTTTCTTCCCAGATGCAAAGTACATGACTGATGGCAACAGATACAGAATAAACTCTGCTTTCAGTCATGGCCAACCCACATTCATCTGTTAGTATGTATTTCTGATGCTAAACAGGCAAATTGTTCATTAATGTCACTGCTTACCCAATTTTAATAGGTACATGCTAGGCATAATTTTAGTTCATGTCACTTCAATACTCCCATGGGGTTTAGCTCTGTTAAACCTAATGAAAAAAAGTCCTTATGAAGAACAAAGTGTAAAGGACCCTTGTTAGACAACTACTCGGTTATTTTGGTGAATTGACCGTATTAGCGGTTTGTATTGTTTATTATAAAGATGATTGGTACATTCAATTGTTGGTAAGTCTTAAATTGAACTGTATTCAAATTGAATTGTTGGTTCATGCATTCAATTGTTAGTCATTTACCATGCAACACCAACACAATCATTTGAGACGAATTGTATTCAAATAATTTATGACTTGAAATGGGAACTGCAATTTAAGTCTTAAATTGAACTTGGTGGGTCTTAGTTAATCAATTTTAAGCGGCTCCTCAGAGGCTTATCACGTGTCTTTTGCCAAAAATAGACCTACTTCCCATATGCTAATTTAATTGGTAAGGCATGTATTAGTAAGTTAATTAAGTCCTAATTTAATACGAAGTATTATGCAAAATAAGTATAAACAAAAGAACAGAAATAAAAGCACAGAATAATGAAAAACTAAAACTCTTGTTGCTGAATATTACTTGTACTAATATTCCACGATGATGGTTACAATCTCCAATTCCTTGTTTTGTTTGCTGTTGTAAAAATTGTGTTTGTATCCTGTCTATTTCGATTTTCTTAAATCTAAAAGCCAGAAAATTGAACAAAGCAACTTGAATGACTGAGAAAGTCACTCAGAACTTGAAACAGAAAAATTAAGAACCAATGTTTCTTAGTTTGGAGCAAATGAACAATGGGAGGGTTCAGAAGAGGTGATAGAATACAACTTAGGAAATGAACAACGCTTCCAGAATCGCCCCATTTATGGTTTTCAAAAATAAAACCTTTATGGGTGCAAGACGGAGGTTGAGCGATCACAAGGATAGAGAGTCTTAACAATCTGTGTGGTGGTGTACATGGTGAAGACAATAAGAAGTGAAATATATACTACAGCCAATTTACTTGATGTAAATAAGGCTTAGGAAGAAATGGAAATGGACTTTTTTTTTTTTTTTTTTTTTTGAGTTTTTTTCTTTAAGCAATTGGGTGTTTTGTTTCAATTGTATAGAAATTCTGGGTAAATTGGCTAACAAGCTCTACCACGGCGACAAGTGAGAACACCAGCACCTGAAGTCAGGGTCGCTACAAGGCTCGATGGCTTGGCTGCCAAGCTGGAGGCTCTAGCATAGCTAGCACCAGCCCCTGTTCCTGAGGCTGTGAAAAAGGCACCATTTAGAAGTAGATCACCTTCTGATCTCCAGTTCCAGTGCTTCCAATGTCCCTGATCTGTTTCTACCCTCTTAGTAACCTAAGAACAGAACAAATATCATCAAAATCAGAGAACAAAAAGAATTATCTAAATATATACTTGTATGATGATTCTTAGTTATATTACCTCTTTGGCAAAAGGGTTAGATGGGGCAAGGTATCTATTCCCTTGGCTGTTAATGGTGGGATCTGCACTTCCTCCGATAGCATACATTTCCCAGTGAGTGTAGTCGTTGTTCACAACATGGAAGTAACCATGTCTACATCTGTATATTGAATTTAGTTGCAGTTAGTTACGAAACTAATCCCAACAAGGAGAAAGACAAGGAGGAGGCGAGTAGAACACAATTTTGTACCTTGGCATCCTCTGCATAAGACCTTCACCAAAGTGATTGTAGGCAATGGTGACCTGCATAATCTTATCTCCTGTGTATGAGTCACTGTGACCCAGCAACATCACCTGTTTTGATCAAAAGGGTTAGAAGAAGATCGATAATTATTATTCCTTAGGTAAAGAGGGTAGTATTCTAATCTGATTCATAATGTAACAGAATGAGGTTCATGTTTTACCTCATTGTGGTGAGTAAAGTAATTGTTAGAAATGGTAATGGCAGTGGAAGCAATGACAGCATCAATGAGCCCGTCCGCACAATTTGCGAGGGAGTTGTGATCAATCCATATATGACTTGATCCAAAGATGGAAATCCCATCACCATCAGCCATACCTCGAAATCCGTAATGAGAAGGAGAACTTCTCACCATTGCATTACCAGTTGGCTTGCAGTCATGGATATGAATACCATGGATAATAATATTGGTGATGTACTGAATGGTAATGCAAGCTCCATTAGCAATATGGACATTCACCCCTCTTCCATCAATTGTCTTAAAGCTGTTCATAATAAGCTCCTCTTTCAAGGTGATCACCATATCCCTCTTAAAAACAATCCAAAGTGGCTCTTCTTGGATGACTGCATGACGGAGAGTCCCTGGCTTCGGGTTCACAGCATCATTGTCACTTGGGTCAGTAACCACGTAAAATCGCCCATCACGACCACCAACAGCATTGCGTCCGAATCCAATAGCACAATCAGCAAGCCTCTTTCTGTTATTGTGCCAGTTACGATCACACCTCCAACAGTCATCAATCGGGTTCCCTGTTCCACATGAAAAATATCCTAGATTTCTCCTTGCTGTGCTGTTGCTAATTCTCCTGAAATTAAATTAGAAATCGCATTAAACAAAACCATCCAATTATAAACTCATTTAACATAATTCAAATTAGGAGATCATCACTTTACAAAACCAGAGTATGTCATGTGACAACATGTGCAGGGTGTGATGGTCATACAGACAGTGGCGGACCTGGGCTTGTGCCTGGTGGGTCAAGTGACTCACCAGGGCCCAAAAATTTTATTAAGTTATTTAAAAAAAAAAAAAAAAAACTTTCTTTAGCTTCCCGAGTTACTGTCTTCCTCTGTTCCTCAAAGTTCAAACCCTAGCCTTCTTCTCTAGTTCTCTTCGCCTCTTCGCTTCATCTCCAGTTCTCCACCCAGCCACCGTTCTCTTCGCCTGCTCCGTCTCCGTGGAGTCGTGGACGGTGGACAATAACAGGAAAAGGGTAGTGAAGGGCTGAGATTTTTATTGCTCGAAAGAAAAAGGAAAGAAAAACAGGAGGCCTGATATTAGAAAAAAGATTAAAACCAAAACCGACTCCAAATACTTGCAGGTTATAAAATTGCAGTTTAGATTACTGAATTGCAAACCTCTTTCCTCTCAAATTTTCCAGAAAACCCTAATCGAAGAGAAGCAATAGAAATTGAGAAAAAACTTTAAAGAAAAATGGATGACTCTATCCCTGTTCGTCTTTTTTGATCTATTCCTCCTCTAACTGAGTTTCGGGATGCAGATCCATGGGATAGCACTAACCTCGATAAGTTTACGGACGATCTTCTAGCGAAGTGGGACGAGTAAGATTACAATTTTCCAGATTTTATCAAACTTAAGCTTTTCTTTGTCTCTGCTATTATTTAGTTTTCACAATTATGATTATTATTATTTTAAATCTATATTGTTTGAATTCTAAGTTTTTGTTTTAGGGGTAATAATGATAATAATGATAATGCTGAAGTGCTGACTTGCTGAGTGCCTGAGTGATTATTTTAAATCAAATGTTGAATGATTGTTTAATTACTTATTTGGAGAATGATTTGTTTTTGAATGTTAGCATGGAAGATATCATAAATCGATATCAAAACATGAAAACTCGTCGAGAACTATTGTAATAAGTTTGCATTACTATTTAATTATCTTTTGTAGTATTATATGAACATTTGGTTGTATTTTGTACTGTTTGAATATTTAGATGTATTTTTTAGTACTATTATTTGGTTGTTTGGTAAAAAAAATTTTTTACATATTTGATTATCGATTGTGACTCACCAGTCGGAAATTCCTAAGTCCGCCACTGCATACAGAAAGGATGAAATACGGATCATACGGAAAAAAAGCAGGGATCAGGAGAATTTATTGCTACATCCTCCTTATAGTGTTGAAGAGTAAATTTAGTAAGAAAAAGTATGTGACATAAATGCAAGAAAAAAAAAAGGACAGATTATTACTCTTAGTAGCTAAAATGAAAGATGTGGTGTGTCGGTGAGACTAACTAATTCTACGATAGGTACTCATACCAGCCAACAGAAGGCTTAAATGAGGTCATGGGTGGTCACATTCAATCTGCCAAAAAAAAATATTGCCTCTTTTGATCAACTTGGTTGTTAGCCCAAAACAAAAAAATACATATCCAAGCTTTATATATGAGAGATGTGGCCTTCTTGTTTCCTCTACAATTCCATTGTTTCTTTATTTTATTAAAAGATAAGGAGACTCAAACCCGAAACCGAGTGGATAGGCAGAAATTGCCTAAAGCCAACATACCAAAGTAAGGTCCTCTTGATAATATGGGTTAGTATGTAAATATGGCATCTAAAATTATGTTATGGTAATGCCAAATTTTGGGGCCTTTAAAATTAAGTTCTTTGAGGATTGTTTTATAAGGGTCAAAATTTTGGGATTTAATGAGTTTACCTATAACCTACCATGCAATCAGATGGCATAACTATATATAACTAAACTAGATGACCAAACTCAAGGCATGACTTGAATGTGCTTTTTCTATGTTTTACCATATTTATTGCTACTTCTCCCCTCATTTTCAGTAGCAGGGAAATCTGTTTAGGTCAAAACAACTTAATAGTTTTCTAAAGAATACTTATCCTCTATTCGGCCGATTTGAAAGCTACAAAATCTATTATTTGTACCAGAAAAAATTCATAACATGTAAACAATATGAGTCGAAAAGAGTACGTAAATATGTAACTAATGTACTCCATCTATGAAATTTATTTAAGAATAATGCTTCTGATTATTGTTTATAAATCCATCTGATTTGGTCATGGGTTTGCCAATGCCAACATAAATTCGCCTGACAAAAAACATAATCTCTAAAGATCTTTCAAGTCATGTGATGAGTTAATGACTGATGAAGATTGGAGAATATTTCCAACTGAGATAAGAGAAGGATTCCTATGTGCAGTCAAGAAAGTTCTTTACAAAAAATAAAAAATTATCATTTTAAAATAAATATTAAAAAATTAATGGAGACCCACAATTAATTGGTGATTAGCAACAGTCAAATCCCTATAATATTATATTGAAATAAAGAATTTATATCATGGGTATCATATAAAATGGAGAAAAAAGACATCAGAAATTAAATGCAGTATGTGCGGATCTTATGGCAGAGGCATGTGAGTTTACCAATCAAACATAACAAACGGTTTTCCTAATAACATGGGTTGGGCTAAATTATTATACACGACACTTTGTATTAAGCAACTTAATTAAATACTCCCAAATAAGAGCTTAATAAAAACCACTGATACGTAGAATAAGTCACTAAGATTTGGACCATCTCTTGTTTAAGAAATATTTATGCATGAAAATTTAGTTAACATAAGTTATTTCTAAATCGTCTTTTAAGATAGTCACGTTGATATTGTTATTTGAACAATTATATGATAGCTAAATCTCGACGGATCGGAGGATTATTACTTGTACTATCAAGGAAAATATCCCATATCGATGATGCCGTCAATTGTGGCATAATAGAGGAAGAAAGTGACATAATACTAGTATAGCATTTTCACAACTTTGACATCCATGTTAGAAAGTGGAGATTGAATTTAAGAGGGTTTGTAGTGGGTGAGATTTCTGGTGGTGAGCATTAAAGGAATGTGTAATTTATTTTATTTATTTTTCAAAGATTTTAGAAAATGAAATTTTTACCTTTGGACCATAGAAACAATCTCTTCTGGTTGTTCAACTGCTGCTTGTTCATTTTTCACTTCAGCATCCTTGGCCCTGAAATCAGAATTTCGTTGACCAAAAATTATGAGATTCAATTTATTTCATCCCAAAAAAAATGTACTATTGTTGGGATTTAATCAATTTCAACTGTTTTTCTTAGGTCAAACAATTCATCCAATAAAAATTTGTAAATCCCAACTTCTTATGGTTACAAAGTATTACTCACAATTTAACCGATTCAAACTTCATACGATACAATAATAAGGTCGTTATAAGGAAAATACTTAATATTCAGTGTTTGACTAAACGACACGACTTTGACCAAAGATATATTTACCAAGACTACTCGGTAGTAACTACCTATATTATTTTGGAGGACTAATGATATGCTAAATTCTAGGGATAAATCATACTACCATATATTTAGGGTACATTTATAAATATCCCAAAGATTAAGCATAAAAGATTTATTCATTATAGTAATTGATAAACCATGTTAACATTTATCCTAATAAAATAATACGAAGTATACACTAGTTATAACAGAACTACCGGAACAATAGTACAGTGGAGTAGTGTAACAACTAACAATCAGCAAATCACTGACGTCGTCATTTAAAAAGACTTATTTCATACGAAATGACAAAATAGCCCTCTATTTCATACCAGAAAAAGGCTATTTCATGGGTATATTGTGGAAAACCATTTATCCATTCTCCAAAACAGAGAAAAACAGAGCAATTTACCACAATGATCAACTTTTAGAATCAAAATCAAAATTAAAATGACAAATTTTATTTATTTTTCCGATCTTAATTACTAATGATAAAATTACTGTTTTATTCATTTAATATGATTTTTTACAAATTCAGCAGAAATAACGAACAAACCTATCCGCCATTGATGAGTTCTTCAAGCTTTTCAAATGCTCTTCAACCCTAAAAACCAGAAATACAACCTTTAAACTCAGTCGAAAAATACATTTCAACAATTTCGACCCAATGTAGCTAAACTTATTACATTACCTCAAATTAACGACGTCATCATTAGTCAATCTGCCATTTACGACGCTTAAGAAAAGCGCCGAAAACAACAATGTGAAGAGAGTGAAGTTGATCAAAGAAATTTCTGCCATTTTTTTCTCTCTCCTAAGAAAATGAAAATCTCTCTCCTGAAATTTAGGGTTAAGAGAGAGAGAAAGAGTAGAAGATTATTGTGAGACGAGGAGAGTGAAAGGAAAATGGCCAAGGTAGGCGGGTTTTTATAACAGAAAGGTGGAGCCTAACATGCTCTTTTTCATTTTATTTTATTTTTATTTAATTTGATTTAAATTAAGCTTTTTTTTTTTTTTAATTTCTAGAGTATATTTAATTGATGGAGAATTATTTTTATGAAAGAGAAAAAAGGAATTTAGAAGGTTTGGTTGAATTTATTGGACTTTAAAGAAGAAGAAGTACTAACTAAATAATTAACAACCTAATCTTTTTACCATTTGGTATCTAACTGCCACTAACTGAACTTTACGACTACCTCGGAGTAGATTGTGTGAGTAATTGGTGATAGATATTCTTTATTTTTTGTATATTTATAATATGATATGTGTATATGCATCTGTATAAATATTCTCATTTATAAAAATAATGATATATACTTCAAATGCAAATATTTCTATTTTTAAAGTGAATTTAATGTATAAATACTTGATATATGTGACATCTAATCGTTTTTTCCACTATCTTATTTTTCTTATTAACCTGTATAAAATCATCAAACATGATAAATTGAATATATCATCCATTGGGAATCATATGTATGGTGTGTAGTGCACATAATGACTCCGGACTTTCAAATTTGAAATTGCATATTGGTTATCCACTAATCGCGATTGTGATTTGAGTCTATTCAATGACTTTGCACGTTATGAGTGTGATTTGATTTTATTATGTTATTAAGTCTCCCCATAGAGTGATATTATGTTTAATTATGTTTATTGTTGGTGTAGTACAATAGTTTTTCGTCTACAATTAGATAAACCAAGCTAAAATCAACTTCACAGCTATAACAGATTATTAAAACCATTGTAAAGGTTGTATGAAACAACAATATGAAAGAGTGAAAATAAATTCCAATTGTAGAATACAACCACATATCATAGCTTTGCATGCATCATAATTTTGCGTAAAGAAAATCTTATCTGATTCTATTTGATATATACGAAGTACAAGTATTAGTTAAAATAATAGATTTTTTTTTAGGCAAGTTAAAATAGATTTATTTTTTGACCGGAAGCAAGATCATTTATTAATTTTCAACGTGGCTTAAATCAGCCAAAATAAACTCCCTTACATCAATGGGATACTCTTCTAACCAAACTCTGAGAGAATGATATTGATTACAAGCCTTTGCTAGCCAATGAGCTACTCTATTTCCCTCTCTTTTAGGAACATCACCCTTCTTCAAATGGCTATATAGCTTCATACAATCTGTCTCTAAACAGAGTCGCAAGAATCCCGCTTCCATTGATGTGTGCACTGCGTGTCTCATAGCCAAGGCTTCCGCTATATCCGCATCAAAACCCCCTTCTATCCTGAGACATGTTGCAACCACCACATCTCCCACATGATCCCTCATTACTCCCCCCAAACCCACATCATTTGGTGAGAGTATTGCTGCGTCGGAGTTCACTTTGATCATTCCAGCTAGGGGCGGTTTCCATCGAGATTCGAGAGTCATAGTAGGGGAGCTCACATTACTTATCTCCTTCGCCAGTTCATACTCCCCTACTAATGCCACTGCCTTGCGAGTTACAGCATCCCTGTTCAGCCTCTTTCCATCAAAACCCCATCTATTACGCCTTAGCCATACTCCCCACACAATACTCCAGAACAGCCCCCACCAATTCAGATCTTTAATGACCTTCCATACCGAGCTGCACCAATCACCGAAATTCTCTCCTCGAAAGTTTTCAACTTCCAATCTTAAGGGGGACGTGTACCATGTTAGTTTGGCATCAGCACAGTGTATTAGCATATGGAGGGTATTCTCTCTTGCATCACCACACATGGGACATATTGCTTCAGTATCAACACCTCTTCGCACCAAATTATCCCAGCAGGCTATTCCGTCTCTAATACATCTCCACGCAAACAATTTAATTTTTTGTGGGATTTCCACATTCCAAACCTTTTTCCACTCACACATACCCCCTACATTTGATGAAGAAGCAGTGTTTTGTGTTTGCTCCATCGTGAGCAGATTGTAGGCACTCTTAACAGAGAATCTGCCATCCGTTGTGTGGTGCCACATCCACGTGTCCTTACTGTCGTACATAGGAATTGGAATACGCTTAATCATTTTAACTTCTTCCTCTGAGAAGTAAGTAGTAAGTGTACTTACATCCCATGCTTTGTTTACCCATAATTGTATCACGTAGGAAGGGCATTGATTATCCTCCCTTTGGCTCGACATTACTCTGAAATCCGGCAAAGTTGGCACCCACGGATCCCTCCATATATCAGTAGAAGCCCCATTTCCTATGTTCTTCCTAGCACCCTTCACTATTACCTCACGAGCCCCTAAGATTGATCTCCAAGTATAGCTCATATTCCCCTTAACTTTAGCTTCCCAAAACGATGACTTAGGAAAATATTTCCCTTTAATTACCTTGGTCATGAGAGACTCTTCATTTGTGAGGATGCGCCATGCTTGCTTAGCCAAAAGGGCTTTGTTAAAATTCTTCATGTTTCTAAAGCCAAGACCCCCTTGTTTCTTCGGAGCATACGTCTTCTCCCAAGCCACCCAATTGATCTTTTTTTCCTCTCCCTTTTGACCCCAGAAAAAATTCCTACACAATATTTCCACCACCTCCAAGATACTATCCGGAATCGAGAAGCATTGCATTGCATTGCATACGTCGGGATTGCTTGAGCAATAGATTTTATCATAACTTCTTTTCCGGCTTGAGATAAGAATCTCTCTTTCCACCCCTTGAGCTTTTTCCAGATTCGATCTTGAATACTTTGGAAAATCAATTTTTTGATCCCCCTATGTATGTCAGTAAACCAAGGTATTTGTCATGTCCTTCGACAGCCTTAAAGGATAACTTCATCTGAAGCATATTTTTCCATTCCGGCTCAATGTTTCGGCTAAAAGACACCTCTGATTTATCCATATTCAATTTCTCACCCGAAGCCATCTCATAAGTAGAAAGGATACCAAGAACATTCTCCACTTCCTCCTCCGTCGCTCTCACAAAAAGGAGACTGTCATCAGCAAAGAAAATATGAGAAACCAGATTTACATGTCTGCCTATCTTCACCCCATGAATGAGTTTCTTCTCTTCGGCATCCCTTAGTAGAGTCGACAAGCCTTCCGCGCACAGAATGAATAAGAAGGGGGATATGGGATCTCCTTGTCGAAGTCCCCTGGTAGACTTGAAGTTCCTCGATGGCTGCCCATTCACAAGAATATCAAAGGACGCAGTACTCACACACTTCATTACTAAGCACACAAAGTTTTCCGACATGCCAAGCTTCAACATCATTTTCTGTAAGAATTCCCATTCAACTCTGTCGTAAGCTTTGCTCATATCAAGCTTGAGACCAAGGTACCCCTTTTCCCCTGCTTTCTTCTTCCTGAGGTATGAAAACACTCATAGGCCACTAATACATTATCAGTAATTAGCCGTCCCGGGACAAAGCCACTCTGCGACTCATGAATAATGTACGGAAGGACTAATTTTAATCTGTTAGCAAGCACCTTAGTAACAATTTTATACAACACATTACACAAGCTAATAGGTCTATAATCTACAGGTGACTCACATTCTTTTTTTTTTCGGAATTAAAACAATATGAGTTTGATTAATAGAACCTACATCCCCATTATTATTTAAAATGTCTAGCACTTTCCCAATTACATCAGTCCCAACTATATCCCAAAATTTTTGGAAAAAGATTGCAGACATACCATCGGGCCCGGGGGCCTTTGTAGGGTGCATTTGAAAAAGTGCCACTCGAACCTCATCAGCAGTAAAAGGGGCAGCCAAGCTTGTGTACTGTCTGTCATCGATAGCTGGAACCACTTTCTCAATCACAGGCTCCACCTCTATGTTACTACTTCTAGCAAACAAGTCTTCGTAAAAACTCACAAAGCTCTCTGCAATCTCCTCCTCCTCAGTGAACACATTTCCGGCCTCATCCCTAATTTGGGTTATATTATTTCTAGCTTCTCTTTGTTTCGCCTTATGATGGAAAAAGGACGTATTTTTATCCCCATGCTTAAGCCACTCTTGTCTGCTACGTTGCTTCCAGTACATCTCTTCTCTCCTCTCAAGCTCATCCATACGGTCATCAATGGCTCTCATCTATGCAATCACCTCCTCCGTTTAATTTTCTCCCATTAAGAATTTCATTTGAGCCTTACATGCACTCATTTCCTTAATAAAATCCCCAAACTTTTCCCTACTCCATGCACTGAGCCGTATAGAAGTGAAGGCTATCTTCGAACACAGATCCCCACCACTCTCCCAAGCCTCCGAAATAATATTTGCACAGGTCTCATCCCTAAGCCACATCTCCTCAAACCTATACAGTTTTTTCTTCTATTTCTTTTTTTGTGTCGAGGTTGCCCTTTTGATACATAGGAGGATAGAAAGGTGGTCAGATTTTCTCTTTGAAAGGTGAGACACAAAAGAGCCCGGAAAAGAGTCCCTCCAAGCTCTATTCGCAATAAATCTATCTAGCCTTTTCTGAATGTTCTCATCTCCTCCTCTATTATTTGACCAAGTGAAGTCATGACCTATAAAGCCAAGGTCTTCCAAATGACAGCAGTCCATGGCCTCACGCAAGATTTCAGCTTCCCCAACATTGAGCCCTTGCCCCCCTTGCTACTCCCCTAAGTGTAGTATAAGGTTTAAATCCCCTCCACATAACCAAGGCTCCTCTCCTTCGCCCCTCAAATTCTCTAAAAGCAGTCCTGTTTTGTACTTATTGTCAGTGTCAGCATGCCCATAAATGCCCGAAAACCGCCACTGCCCTTGAGGTCTCGAACTCACCCATGCATCAACGTGATTCAATGAAAAAGATCTCACCTTTACCTCCACACTCTCCTTCCATAACAGTGCTAGACCACCCTTTCTTTTTCTCCCTTCGCCCTCACAATCAACTATAAAACAACCACTAAATTTTATTTTATATTTTATTTTTTTCCATTTCAAAAGACTTCAATTTTGTTTCCGAAAAGAAAACCAGTTGGGGATCCTCTAGAGACACTATGCGTTTTAACGCATTCACTGCAGCGATGCTCCCCAAACCCCTGCAGTTCCAAGCTAGTACATAACTCATTTATCA